CAGAAATCATGAACTGTAAAAATCCAATTTTAGGAACTGTGAATTTACTTAGAACTCAGCATGTGCTTACTTAGTATCACCTCAAATATAACTTAGAGCTGTTGATGATAGATGTATTAGTAAATATTTGATTTGTTAGGTACATTTAACTAGATATTAGCTATTTTAGAAACAAAATTAGTCTTTTACCATGATCATATTAAAATGCCTGGTGCAACATTTTCTCATGCCTTGGACAATACACTTACTTAAAATTTATTTTTCACATGTTTTTGTGATTTTTAAAGAGAAACCTCATTATAGGCAGAATATATATATATGAGTCAAAATAGGTGTTAGGAACTGTGCTTTACAGCCTTATTTTTGTTCTAATTGTTCAGTAAGACCTCTTCCAGTAACAAGCTTATTTTAAAATATGTAACCAGTGACAAGTTGATGCCTCCATATCACCTAAAAATTAGTTGGAGGGTGAGAATTTAAGTAAAAGAACTATTTTCTCTTGCATCATTAGGTAATATTATTATACAGAGAAATAGCTGTACCAAAAAGGACACCTAATTAAACTTCTACCTTCCAAAAAACAAGCATCAAACTAAAGTATACTTCTGACATTTTTAATAAGAAATTTGTAGCAACTAAAGTCACTTTATGGCTGGTAGAAAAGTGCATTTCATGATAAAATTCAGAGTGAAAATTCAGAAATATTTGATGTTTTCTAATCAATAAGTTTAGGCTTCTGCTTCTTAATGCTGAATACATGTTATTGTGCAATTCTGACTTTAATTGGTACAAAGCAATGTGCAAATGTAATTTAATATCTAGCTGGAACCATGCATCATGTAGTAAAGCTAACCAGAAAAGGAAATGAATTGGTTTTGGGGTTTTTTTATTATTATTTTGTCATTAAATTCTGAATATTAGTATTGCATATAATTTTATGAAGTTTCTAATGGTTTGGTAGAAAAAGTTTTTGTACTGACTGGGAGGTAAATCAGAAAAAGAGAACTGAAAGGTCCACTGAGCCCAGCAGCTGAATAACCAGGCAGTCTGGGGGCCCAGAGTGATCCTGGAAGCCACATAGCAAAGTACCAGCAGCTGGAAAAACACGTTTTGTCAGAATGAATATTTCTATCAATCTTACTGACTGTAACAATTTAATATCACAAATACAAATTTAATATTGTCTTTCCCTTTTTAACACAAACAAGAAAGGAGTAGAATCAGAATCATCAAGATTGAAAAAGACCTCCAAGATCATTCAGTCCAGCCTCAGAAGGAAGTTAGAGAGCTGAGGTTTCCTTTCTGTGTCTTCTGCCTACACTCTAACCTTTGCAGACCAGAACACTTTTCATTTTCCTGCTGGGTTGATGAACACATTGATCCTTTCACAGAATGGCACTTTAGTAATATGAATGGTAGATAGAAGACATAAATGAATACATATATTTGTATTAAAACTGCCTCTCTGTACATGTCATGTTGTATTGAAAGTGATGAACTAAATGACATTTTTGGATCCCTTCCCTTTGTCTGAAAGAAGGATTAAACTGATATGTTCAGTTTCCTGTATAAGTGCTATAACTTCTTAATTTGCAATATATATTTTAAAAATAAATAAATAAATCAAGAGAGACCGTAAGTATAATTTCTGACTGATTTTTGCATATTTTGTATTAGGGATAGTATTAATGGCTTGAGCCTGTCAGAGAACTACATGGACTATCTAGATTTTTAAACCCCAAATACCAACTAATATGAAACTGCTGTTCCTTGGAGTGGTGTTTTTACAGGCCCATGCAGAAACGTGTGGCAATTCTGTGAGGCTGAGGTGAGGGGGTACAGCAAAAAAGAGGTACTAATATAAGAACTAATACAATATTACCTAATCCGTTTATCTCGTCCTGCTGCAATCTCATAGTCCTATTTTTTTCTTTCTAGGATCTAGGATCTAGGATTTGGAGTCAATTTCACAAGGTTAAAGAACTTAGATTCTCTCTGTTCTCCGACTGAAATGAATTAGATGAGTTAATGTGTCTCCATAGTATAAAATAAATTTTTTTGCAAGGATTTGAAGGAGTTTTTATAGCCCGTGGTAACCATCAAGCATTTTGTCGTTTATATTAGTGCCTGAGGGAAAGAGGGTGCTAGAAAAGTTTCAGAAATTTGGAAAGTGTTCTTAAACATATTCTGTTTTCAGATAGAGTGGTTGGGAAAAGATCAAAAGAACACTACCTCCAAACTGTTATTCTTTCAAAAGTCTTCCTCACAAAATAATACCTACATAGGGTTATTAGTTATTTATTTAAGGAAGGTTTGGGTTTTTTTCCCACTTAAAAAAACACTTAAAAATTAGTTGCTTTGTTATGAATACAGTTTATCACAAAATAGAAGAGGAATCCTCTATGTCTGAACATAAAATGGTATACTTGTTGGCTAGTATTTTATTCTAACTACAGGAAAAGCTTTGTTTAGAAATAAATGGAAGGACATAGATAATCCTGAAGATGTGACTTATCTTTCTGATTTTGGTGAGAAATATATCTTGGATTACTGGCTTGATGGAAGAATTTTTTATGTGTAGCTTATTCACCTTCTTTCTAACATGACATCTCATCTAAAAATAAAATTTAAAGAAAAAAATACACAACAACAACAAAAAAAAAAACAGCCAACCAAACCAACAAAAACTTAAATACAAATATTCCTAATGAAGAAGTCAAGATGAAAGACTACAGTAATTGGAGCAATATCCTGATGTTAAAAATAATAATAATAAAAAAAAAAAAACAAACAGAAAAAAACCCGGTAAAAAGTCAGGTAATTTTGTATACTGAGTCTAGTGACTCAGAGTTAATGTTCTTTGCAGAAGCCCATATGATGCTGTAGTTTGGATTTGTGACTAAAGCAGAGTTGATAGCACAACAAAGTTTTGGCTACTGCTAAGCTGGGTTTGCACAACAATCAAGGCTTTCTTTTCCCCCTCTTCTGTCCCCATAGACCAGGCATAGGCAAGATACTGGGAAGGGTCAAAACCTAAACAACTGACACAAATTGACCAAAAGGATATTTCATACCATATAACCTCCTGGTCAGCAATAAAAGATGAGGAGAAGGGCTGAGAGACAAGTAGTCATTGCTTGGAGATTGGTTGGATTATCTATTTGTATAATATGGTGAATTATTGCCTTTGCATCACTTGGGTTTTTTTTTCTTTTTTCTCACCTCTTCACTTATTAAACTGTCTTTTGAAGAGTCTTTATTTTGGCCCATGAGTTTTCTTGCTTTTTCTCTGCCTGTTCTCTCCCCTTTATGCTGTTGGGGGCAGAGAAGGGAGGGAGTGAGCAGCTGTGTGGTGCTTGGCTGCTAGGTGGGTTCAATCCACTACAGTTCCCTTCTCTTCTTGTACTTTTAATAACTGATTTCAAAGTCACTCAAGTGATGGAATATTTCTTTTTTCTTTATACCCTGAATGTAGAAAATTACTTACTCTTGAAAAATAGGTGTCAGTATTGTAATTTCAGAGAGTGATCTGCATAACCTAAACTCTCTTATTCCATATCTTGAATGTGAAAGTCACAGGGCACAGTCCTTTCCCTGGTGCCCAGAGCAAGGTTCTGCCTAGCCCGTGTAATGGATTGACCCTGACTGGATGCCAGGTACCCACTAACGCTGCACTCTCACTCCCCTCTACAACCAGACAGAGAAGAGAAAAAAAAAAAACAGTGAAGGATTCATGAGTTAAGAGCTGGGAGAGATTTAGTGATCACCGTCACGGACAAAACAGACTCAAAGTGGGGATATTAATTGAATTTGTTACAAACAGGATCAGAGAAGTAAAATAATCTTAAAAACACCTTCCCCCCACCCCTCCTTCCTTCAAAGTTCTACCTCCTCCCCTGCCATGGTGCAAGGAGACAGGGCATGAGGATTATGGCAATTGTTTCTGCCACTGCTTAGGGAGAGGAGTCCTTTCCCTGCTCCTGTGGGGTCCCTCTCACAGGAGACAGTCCTTGATGGACCTCTCCAGTGTGAGTCTGTCCCACAGGCAACAGTTCTTCCCAAGCTCCTGGCCTGTGGGTCACTCCTCCATGGGGTGCAGTCCTTCACCAATGAGCTGTACCGGCGTGGGTCCCCCACAGAGGCCACAAATCCTACCTGGGAAAAAGCTGCTCCAGTATGGGCTTCCCTCTCCATGGGCTGCAGGACCCTGCTCCATCTTGGGCCTCCCACGGGGTCACAGCCTCCTTCGAATATCCACCTGCTCCAGCATGGGCTCCTCCATGGGCTGCAGGTGGGTCTCTGCAGCCCGATGATCCTCCATGGGCTGCAGGGGCACAGCTGCTCCACCATGGTCTGCACCACGGGCTGCAGGGCCTCAGCTCCGGTGCCGGGAGATCCTCCTCCACCTCCTTCTGCACTGACCTCGGTGTCTACATTGTTGTTCCCATGTTCTCTCTCTGCTCTTCCCTGGCTGGAATTCTTTCTGCGCAACAACCTTCTGTTCTTAAATATGTAATCTCAGAGGCATCACTGTTACTCCTAATTGGCTTGGCCTTGGCCAGCGGCAGGAAGCCCATTCTGGAGCTGACTGGCATTGGCTGCATGGAACTGGGGAAGCTTCTAGCAGCTTCTAACAGAAGTCACCCCTGTAGCCCCCCCCGCTACCAAAACCCAGCCACAGAAACCCACTATACCTGTTATCCGACCTGGATAGACACAAATTCTTTCTAGCCTGAGTGCCATTGTAGTTGCATCTTGACAGTGCTGTGTCTGACCAATAACATGATTGTGTGGTTTCTGGATTAGCACTCATTTGTATCCCATCATTTGGTCATGCGTAGTGAACAACTTTGAGTATTCGTGCTTGTTAAAACTCTACTAACTGATAAATAAAAAGTTCCGTAGGGGGCATGTCAGTGAATACTATTTTGAATATAAAGGTTTTCCTGATAATTTTTAAATCTTTTAATAATAGTCTTTATTTCTTTGTTTTGATTCAGGCTGTCTGGAATGAATATACCTCCTCCAGTTATCAGTAACAAAAACTGGCTCAGACTACATTTTGTAACAGACAGCAATCACCGATACCGTGGATTTAGTGCTCACTACCAAGGTACATTTAAAGAAATACATTTTTTGTTGTGGTTGTTTTTGTTAGAATAAATAGTGCCTGAAGTTTTAGAGGAAATGGGAAGTGCCCCTTATAAAAAATCCTCATAAAAGTATACTTTTTTTTACAACCTGCTATATCAAATTACAGTATGTTAGAGTATGGGTAGTTTATTATCAGGAGACATCTGCTTTACTTTAGCCTGTGACAGTACTTAGCTTTTAAAAAAGGTCCTAATATTCTGAAAAATACTGTGTAACAGATACAGAAATCATGGTTTTATAATTAAATTATGTAATTGACTCTATAGTTGTATAAATTACGTTTGTAAAACAGTAAGTTTCTATTTACTAATGTAGTATTTAGTTACTATTATCTCTTACTACCTATTTCTGAATGCTTTGCGCTGTTAAAGGTTTAATTAACTTGTAAGATTCTACCCACTGTTTTTATGAACAAGCAGTATTTTGAATAAGAGTGAAATCATCTGAAGCATTAATTTGAGGATATCACCATTTGGAACAAGGTCATTCTATTGTTGAAGTGCTAATGAAAACTGAACTTCATTAGTGTATGGGAATACTGTAAATAATATTTTTCAATATCCACAGTGGATATTCAGGGGACAGCAACCCTTTTTGTGTTTTTTCCATTTATCTGATGAAAAAAAAAATCATGACATTCTTATCAGGATTTAGTTCAAGAATTTCATTTATTTCTTATAGAAAATTTAGCATAGGAAGAGATTAGCTACATAAAGTGCAGTGCAGAATCTGATAAAATTAGTCAACTAATGTAAAAATTGCACTTAACATAAGCCTATGGCTGGTTTTTTCATGAAATTGATCTTTGATAATAGTAAATTTTACAACTCTGTCATTGTCTCAAATAGCCTATTTTATACAAGAACAGAAAATATTTGATTACTATTTTCAACAAATATTGTATATCTCTATTTGGACTTCCTGATTCATAGATCTTCTGGAATGTGCATTCTCTGTGAGTTTACATGAAAGAAGCTTTCTTACTGTAGCTCCAGGGCTGCTATAACTGTTTATGAAAAGCACTGGCTTGTTTTTTGCATGATATCTTTCATATCAAATATGATAAATCACACTCTTTACTAGGAAACTTCTATTTTACAGGACTGTTAAAAAATAGACAGTAGGAACTTTCTCTATTAAATCTACCCCGCAATTGAGAAATCACATGATAACTATTTTGGTGGTTTGAGTGAAGTAGTTTGGATTGTCGAGCTGTTCATTTTGAACTAGTGAGAAAAAAAAGAACAAACTATGTCTCAGATGGCACACATACATGCATTCCTGCTGAAAGTGTGAGGTAATACGTAATGAAAGAACAGACTTTCAAAAATGTGTTTTAGGCAAGACACATAAAACCTGTGAGTTGGTAGGTGTAGGAGATTTGAATATGCTGTGTTTCTTCTATTTCTCTTTACTACCTACGAGTGTAGTGATTACATAATGGGGTTTTTACTATTGTTTTGGTTTGCTCATTTAATTTTTAATGTTATATTGATGAATGTATATATATTGTCAAATGATTCAGTAACCCACCGTATGTAAAATTAAAGGAATGTCTTTTGCAACTCTCTAAAAAAAAATAGGCAGGAAAAATATTCAGCATGTTAAGGCATTAAGTGTGCGTACTTAAATCTGTATGATCAATAAAAAATAGCCTTAATAGTAGAAATGTAAAAATGCATGGTCAGGTAATAGGGATGAGTAGTTTCTGGGTCAATGGTAGACTAAAGGAGAGACTGTGATGAAATTAAATAAATATCATAGAATCATAAAATGGTTTGGGTTGGAAGAGACCTTAAAGATCATCTAGTTCCAAGCCCCCTACCATGGGCAGGGAACCTCTCACTAGACCAGGTTGCTCAAATCCTGCCATGAACACTTCTAAGGATGGGATATATTAAAAATCTTTAATACATTTAGGAAACAAACAAAAACATATAGCACAAAGTATTTCAGTTTGTTAAGAAATGAAACCTTACCTTTTTTCAGTTAGAGACAACTTTAGCCTTCTTATAAAGACCATTTTCAAACATTAACCTCACTGCTGCGCTGGCATGAGTTTTCAAAAAACCGAATACCTGATAAAAATCCAAAAGAGATTCACAAAAAGCCACATAGTACAGGTGCCTCCTTTTCTTTCTGCATCACTTTTGGGAGGGCGTCTGTTAATCCTTTCAATAGCCTGTATTGTCACTGTATTACACAGTAATAACTGTAACTTCTTTCTGAGTTCCCTCCTTGAAACTTAATATTTCCTACATAGTACCATTGTAACCAGAATTACTAATTTCTTACTGTTTCCTCTACTTTAATTTTCTTTAACCTAAAACATTTTGAAGGGGCCAGACACCAAATTCTGAACTTCAGAACAGTGCATAATTTTATTCTGTAGCTCCATGGCATTTCATACCCTTTTCACCTAATTACTCCCTTAGCTTACTGATTTTATTTTCACAAGTAGACATTTTATGCTAGCATATTGGGTCATGGTTTAATCCTGAGTAACAGTGAAGCCCTCCCACTGCCACTCACTCACTCCACCCCCACAGTAGAAGAGGACAGAAAATAAGAAGAACAAGAGTTAAAAAAGGACGTTTGAAAGGAAGATGTGGAAGATCAATCATCAATTACTCTCCTGGGTAAAACAGTCATATTATAAAACATTTAATGACTGACTGGGGTTTTGGAAAACAAAAACAAATAGGAAAACAAATACAAAAAACACCCTGCCTCTCCCCTTTGTAGGCTTAACTTCATTCCAGGCACTTCTTCCCCTTCTTCTATCTACTCCACCACAGATTACACTTTGTCTCTGATGGTGGGCAGTGCAGGAGGTCCAGGTCAAGGTGTAGGAGTTAATTTCTGCTACTCCTCATTTCTTACTCTTTTCTTTTTCATTTATTTCTTCTTACTCATTTCTTCTGCTTTGATGTGCACTGACCCTGGACCGCAATCTCTTAGGGGAAGAACCTGCTCCAGTGTGGGTTATCCATGGGCTCCAGTCCCTAGAGGGTTTTACTAACTCTGGAATGGAGCACTCATGCTCTGACCTTGTTCCTTTTCTTCAGTGTTTGTTGCTTTATCTTAAATACCTCTTCACAGAGATGCCACAAATTCTACTGGTCGGCCCAATTGTGTCCTGTGGTGGGCCCATGTGGAACCAGATGTGATAAGCATGGGACAGTTCCATGCTGCCTGAGGGCAGAAGGCACATGTGCAGCCCCTTCACCCCCCTGCTTCCAAACCCCTGGCATTTATACTAATTACAGTCTTATTCCCTTCTGTTCTCTTAAGTTTATGAAAGCTGGTTTTTTAAGATTCTTTTTCATAAGGCAGCCTCACATGGCCAAATATCAGTGTAATATATGAAGCTACTGTAGCCTAAAAGTGATGTAATGTAAAGTCAAAATATAGTTGCCTATGAAAAAAAAACCAAATCCACAACAGAAAACCTAGTAAATTTTTGTAATTTTTTGTAAACACCCTTTTAGTTTAATTAATTACCATATTTTCCTAATTTTCTGTTCAAGACCTTGCAAATAGGAAAAGGCTTGTTCAGGCCTTTGAAAATTTTTAAATTGATTTATACAGAACAAATGAAATCTACTGAGATACATGAAACTGTGGGAAACTCTCAGCTTCATATAAGAATATAGCAATGAAAGTTATGCGTATTACTTTCTTTTAATAGAAATTTTATATTCATGAATGATAATGATTTATACAATATTTAAAAGACATTGGTAAACAATAATCAAAGTGATATGTGTCAATTAGAAGAGAATCAAAATGTTTCCCTACCCAAGACACACTTATTCTTGCTTGTCTGGTCATCTGTGTTTCAGGACATCTTTCTATTCACTGAGGGTTCTTTGTCTTGATGTTTTCTCTTCTCGTTCCTTTGTTAAAACTCTCTTTGAATCAGAAACTGTTGGCTGAAGTAGAACAAAAGCTTTGGATCCTCCTGAAGCAGCTGCTTCAGTGTTTCTTGGCAATGGTAATCCTCTTTTGCTGTTTCTAAAATTAGTTGAGCTTTTTTACTCCATCCATTTGCAGTTTCTTTTGGTCACTGCTTTCTGTTGGCTACTTTTGGCACTCTGTATCTTATGTATGAATCCATAATATTATCTAAGTGGACAGTAAGGGATTAAGTTAGCCTCACAGCATCTGCTCTTACAGACTGGCATACACAAACTTCAACCTTCTTTATATCAAGCATACCCAGACTCTGAAAGGGTTTTCAGAAAAAAACAAAAACAAAGCAACTTCAGTATCTGATAGTTAAATATTACTTTAAACATCTATAACTTTGCTATCTTTTTAGATCCCACATCCTTTTCCTCTCACTCTCTACCTTCCTCCTCCTTTAAAGCTCTGGAAGGTTTCATTAGCAGCCCTACCGTTGCTATTTATTTCACTTGTGAAATCCATTTCTAAACTGATTTTACTTCCTTCTCCTGTTCATTTGCTTCTGTTTAAGCCATATGAAAACTAATGCCTCCACTATGAAGAAAATAGTATAAAATATGTAAAAAATGTAAATTGAGTGCACAACTACATTTGCCTGCCATTAGGAATTTTTGCTTATAGGAAAATACAGATGAAGAGCTGAAATATATCCATCAGCTTTTCAGAATAAAATAAAATTTAATTGTCATGCTCATGTTTAAAAGTGTGCAAATGGTTACTTTTCTTAATACTTGACAGCCAGGTATATAGAACTGAGGTTGGATAAATGCAAGAGCTTTGAATGTGGGATGCTGCAATATGGAGAAAAAATGTTGAAAAGTTTCTTTTTGCTCTGCTTGATTTTCTGTTGTTATTTTCTTTCTCTTTTATTTTGCATATGAATAGAAATATATTTTCATTCAGAAATTATTTATGGAGTTGGACTTCTCTTAATTTTTTTTGTTGGTTTTGCTTTGAGAAAGAATTTGAAGCAATTGGCAATCAGGTAAA